GTGATATGAAAGGAAACTCTATTGCTATTCGTCCTAGCTCCTTAAACTACATCACAGCTGAGAAGTCTCTTGGGTTTTATGAGCTAATGATGTGAGATTGACCATAAGCGTGACTTGTACATAAACATGAAGATTTCTGCCGTGTACTTTTTTGCTCGACTCCCCTGTCTTTTTCCAAAGTTCTGTGGCTCTATATGCATTTCCCATTCAAGGCCAAGCCTAGCACTTATATTGACTAACTGAACGACTCACTGGACTAGGGTATTTTGACCAGCCTCAAAGAAAGCACTACACAGTAGGCTGAGGTGCAGAAGTACATTATCAGAGCCTCCAGGAAATGGTGACAGTCCCATGCAATATCACAAACAACCCCATTTTTTTGTCTCACTTACTTTAAATTTTTTTTATGCCCTTTTCTGTAATGCTATTGCGTTTTTGTAATTTAAAACACACTTGGATTTCCTTTAAACACTAGCTTTTAACTTCCTGTTAATATGTCTGCGGTAAAGAAATATTATGAGAATACTATAATTATCCTTCAATTATTAATAACTACTCTCAACATGAATTCATTTTAATACAGTTTTTAATTTGAATAACAAAGGTCATAAGCACATAGAATATTTTATAGATGATGCTACTTAACAGCGTTCTAACTGTGAAGCGATGTCTGATCTTTAAAGGTGTGCTTGGCTGTACAGAAGTCATATACTCAGCTCTGACCAACAAATTGTCTCTAAACACTTGTGGTTAGAAATAACCATATGTTATGCTTCTTAAAATAATTGCCAGTTATTAGGGGAATGCTTGTACCAATATTGTGGTGACTGTAATTGCCAGGAATATATTTCAAATTACAGTTAACTAGGCCAGATTTTTCACTTCCATGTACCTTAAATGAGATTTCTGTGTACTATTGACAGAAAATGAGAAGTATCTTTTGTTCCAGATTTTGATACATTAACTACGACTACCACATTCTGTTCTCAGGTACATGGGAATAATTCCATAAATGGTGATAATACAGGTATTTGAGTTATTGTGAATTATCTACATTACCTTTTCTGTAGAGAAATTGTCTGCAAGCAGGTTACTCATTCAGTGTTTCTGAAGAGTGGTCTCAAGCAGTTTTTGAGAAACTGGAACCATAAATGAAGAAGTTGGCATTATTTTCAATCTATAAATGTGTAGGTGATTTCCATGGGAAGTATTATCACATCAACAAATAGTTAAGACTAAAAGGGTAAAAGCAGTTTGTAATCGGCACGCAATACATAAGGTTGAGATTTGTGCCTGGCAATATTTTCCTTTAAGTCTTTCCAGACATCTTAAGGCTGACCCCAGTAGCATAAGTGTATGAGATGCACAAGTCTACTCTTGGTGCGGAGGGCTGATGCATTTTTGGCTGCATCCATGTTACACTGTCAATGTGTTTTTCCAGCTGAGGAAAGAGCCTGTCATCCCAGACTGTCTCAGTCTATGCCTCGTGGCAGAGCTTTTTAGTTAAATCAGTAAAATATGTGAAGAGTGTAAAATCCACCACCCAAACAAGGAGCTTCCTTCCTGTACACCAGCCACAGCTTTTTCTCTACATTTTCTCTGTGCCTGACCTGTGGGCACAGACCTTTCAGCTCCCAAATTCTGGACAAGCCAGCTTGCTGAATGTCAAGTAATTGTCAGCCTCTATGTGTCCCTGGCATCTATCCTATGTGCATTGTGAGTGTGACATAACTGATTTCAGGCTTGCCAGTGAGATTGCCCTGTGCATTGGTAAGCCAGTAAATTTTTCTTTACTATGCTCAAGTGCTTTTCAGTCATTTGAGCCACTCTATCAACTAGTTGAAGGTGAAATGGGAGCTGGAGTTCTTTCCAATAACTGGCCAGGTGTACTCTAATCAATCTTCCATCATCTTCTAGACAGCAGGAAAAGATTGAGATGCTTTTCTAGAAATGGTTGCTGACTGTATGCACATATATGTATATATACATTACAAGGTGCAACAAACTTTTATCCATTGGCAGTACTTGTACTTCAGCAGAAGGATCCTGAAGTGGTTCAGAGTATACGCTTGACAGACACAAAAACAATCTAGATCCATCCATGAGTACATTTCTAGATTCTTTCATACAGTGTGCCACAGTAAAGCCTGAACCTCTTCCACTGGGAGGCAAAACGTCAGGGTTGGCTTAGATAGAATCCAATATCCAAAAGGAATGTCCTTCTCAGACATAATGCCTAATGCAGCTCCTATTGCTAATAAAATTCCTGTGGCTTAGCAATAGTCTAGGAGTCTTTGCTGGCTCAAAGATGAAGCTCTACCTGGCCTAGTATATGCCTTACTAACACATTACAGCTCTTACATGTTTTCTGCCAAAAATGAGACATTGCTATCAGTGAATGTATAAACTATCTCAATCCTTTCTTGAAAATGAATCTGCAGTAAATTTCCATCCCAGACTCTCAGCAAAACTGTGTTGTATTCTCTGTATAACTTGACAGGTGACAATTATAAATTTATCCTCAGGGAGTGGTATTAAAGCAATACAGAAATCAGAATTCCTCTTCTTCTTTCCCCTGCCTTTTCTTTTTTTGATTTTTTTTTTCCTTGGTGCAAGAATAGTATTATGTTTGATATAGAGCTTTGGACTAAGGTTATGAATATTAACATAATAACCATCTTACATACCTGCTGAATTTCATCTCATTTGGCTAGTGTACATACTCCCTGTGGAGGATCCGTCCGCTTTGCTTGCCTTATCTCTAAACATTTGATTAGAAAGACTTGCACCATATCAGTTACGAACACATGGGTCCACATGACTCCATGTAATCCAAAATAGCCTGACACTATGCAATGAAAATTAAGGCTAGAAAATAAGGTGGAGTACAGAGTCCCAGAGATAAGAATAATCATAACACGAGAAGATAACTTTAGTCTGGGTCACACCCAAACCTCATCAGTGTATGTAAGCACATTTCTGTGAACTTGGTGAAGAAGAACCGAAGCATTTTTGAATATGCTCCAGTTTATCAAAGTATTTTCATGTAGTGAAACTAATGAAGCGCAGTATCAGGCCACAAGTTTTAGAATGTCTCAGAGATTTGCGTTAACAGGTATGAGATTTACATAGATGAATTAAAAACATACTGCTATGTAGTATAGTTTATGGGTTTTATTGCTGTAAGGCACATCTGTCAGGTGAATTAGTATTCTCTGAAACTGCCAGATGATCTCCCTAGAGAATCTGTTCTTGTGATAAATACAGTGAAGTGAGCAGCATGGCATGTTTTAGTCTCTGCATCTCTGGAAGGATGACTGTGGTCAGTGGTGTTGCTCTACAGGAACAGCTGAATTGTCTGGGACAAAGGCCTGGCTGGCTCATCGGGGAAACAGGGCTTTTGTGCAAGGCAGTTCAAGGCACCAGAATATATTCTTACAGATTTTTTTAAGGTTCCACAGTTCCCATTGCAAGTTTAAGACACATTTCTTTGACTTGTCCCTCGGTATTAGAAGTATATAAAATGGCAGAAAGAAAATTTAAAAGAAAAACAGAAAAAGCAATATGTGAAAAGAACTATTCTTGATAAATGTTAGTGACAAAACCTGATTCACTTCTAGGAAGCTTTGTGGTAATATGCCAAAGGATAATCTATAGAAAATAGAGATTTTTCTGGGTTTTATTAACATAGGAGGATTGACCTATGTCAGTTCTTGGCTATTTGAGATGGACAATATGAATAGTAAGTATCAGCTGAGTTAGCGGGTTTTTATGCTGGTAGCTAGTCAACTTGTATTTAAAAGTTCTTCACACCTAAGTGATAGAACAGTAGTCTTAGAGGAAGACAGTATAACTAACATTGACTGAATTCTTCATTGTTTCAACTCTGAAACCCTATGTCTTTCTCAGATAATATATTTTTTATTTTGGTTCATTTCTGTGTAATGTCCCTCTAAGAAAAAGTAATGGTTGGTCTGTAACAGGAAAATTGCTGTGACTTTTCTTTATTTCTTTTCTAAACTACCTTCCAACTTCCACAAATCTTTCAGCAAGGGGAGTGTGGAGTGTGTTGTTTCATTATTATGATATCTCATCTTAAATCTCCTCTGCTAACTACAAATGACACAGTAACACTTCTAGTGACTTGCTGTGTAGTAGTTTAAAGCAGTATAACGCATACAAAGTCTGCTGTAGGCTAGATATTGTACACTTTTTGTATGTGCAATAGGCTGTGGGAAGTGTTGAGATTCAACCAATGCTGCTGTGTTTCTTATCACCAAAATGAAGTTGCCCTTCCCCCTTCCTTTTGTCTTCTCACAACTAAACAGAAGCTTTTTTATTTCCATCGCCTCCTATTATTTCTTATGCTGATATCTGTACCATAACCACAATCAATGAGGTCATATGGTCCTGCTATTGTAAAATATTCAAATGTCAGCAAGAAGTAATTTTGGTTTACCCTAGGAACACAGCTTGGGTAAAAATATGGAAACCTTGATAAACTACAGTGTTGTCAGTATTAATCACTAACATGCAATCATGTAAGAATCTGGTGCATCCCTGTTGTTACAGAACTGCAAAGCAGTGTTGTTCTGCAGCCCACAGCAATTTATCATGCACAGTGGATTTTCCTCATATAGAAACCTTAAATTTTTAGCACATCAGCTCTGTGTCCTTCTAATCAATTTCTGATCAAAGCTAATCCTTATTGGTTCCATACGTCACTATTAGCACCAGTCCTTCAAGGAAATCTCCTCACACAGTATATTCATTACCAAATCTACAAAGGCAATCAGGATTTTGTCTTTTCATCAGTTCACAGTTGTTGGAACTATGCTCTCACACAATGACTTTTCATGTGCAGTGCCCTTCTTCCCCACTACCCCCTCAAAATTGCATTGCAGAATATTTTTATCTTTTGTCAAAGGCCTAAATTTATTTTAATTCAGTTCCACTGTCTGCTTCTAACCAATTGGTGTCTTTTCCCCCTTCTCTTTCAGAGGATAAAGTATGGACGACTGTGTACCATGATCTGCAAATGCAGACTTCTATGGGAGGCAACAGCCTGGAGAAGTTATCTGTGCTGCAGCTCAACTACAGTGCAACTATGGACCAGATCTCTGCCATTACCAGTAGTGCTGAATACTGTGAGCAGTTTATCTCCTATTCTTGCAAGATGTCCCGGCTGCTGAATACACCAGGTAGGCTGAGAATGGATTATCAATTAAATACATTGTTAAAGAACTTCATCTGCACAGTTCAACAGGTATTAGACCAGTCCATTCAGTGAACATACTTTGTTCTTCTTCATTGAAGTTCACAAAGAGGTAAATAAGTGGAAATACAGAAGAAATTACTTTCTTAGGAAGTTTTGCCTGTTTGCTTACTGCTGAAATGAATTTTGTTGCGCCACGAATCTGTGTGTTCTTTCTCACATGTGTTGCTCCTTAAAGCTGGAGGCTTTTTGTGAACAGGGTAACTTTGAAAGTTTAATCAATAGGGGCATTGAAAAATTGCTTTGAACTTTATCCTGGTTTTCTGGTTGTCAGTTTTGGTATGTTACAGTCAGGAAGGGCACTGGCTGAATGAGGGTTGGAATTTTCCCGCTAATATCTCTGAAGCAGTTTCTTATACACGGAGTATTTCTGTGTAATTAGATGCCTTACACATTGTAGAGATTGGCATGGTCACTAATGTGCTTGTGTGAGAAATACGATATGCTATTACCCATAAGTAAATTCATTATAAGTTTCTCCTTCTGATGTGTAGCTTTACTGGAAGAGAACAGTCCTAGTGGTGCTTGCTGTATGTGCCTCCCCAACAAATCTTACATGCAACTGATAAAGACAAAAGTATTAGTTGTTCCAGAATCAGTAAAACACCACACAAAGAATGGATTCAATTTTTAGAAATTCTTTTAATATGCACATAGTACTTAATCTATGCTCTAATTGTATATGATAGCATTTGATGTTAAATAAATCTTTAATGGTACTTAACGAAGACTGGGTTAAAAGTAGAATCATATAACACATTTTTGTGACTGTGAAATGAGTTCATTGTGATAGGAGCAATTAAAATGCATTTCAGATGAGACTAATGGCTGGGTGCTTACAGCGTTATACTTTAAGCTGCTTCCCCTCATGAATTTATTATGGTGTATTGTCTTATGGTGCTATAGATAAGGATTCATTTAGCATGCATGTGCATCTTATCCCTATTTCCATAAGCATTCCGTTAGTTAATAGATACTGTAATGCTTGTTACTTCTCTCGCTCCTCCCTGATGTTTTTGAACTATTTCTAATGCATGGTTTGTCTCTGTTGCTATTATTTTACTTAATTTAGCATAACACAGAGACTCTGCAAAGTGGCAAATGATTTCTTCTTTCTTGGGCCTTAATGTAGAGGATCCTGAATCATGTTCATAACTAGAAACATTGTGGTAAGACTCTGCTGATGGATACAAGCTCTCTGCTTGCATGTGTTTCAGAAGAGTAGTATGTGGATGTATCTTTGGGCAGGCATTTAGAAGGCAAATTCACTTGGGGATGGAGCTGGAGATAACGTGCATAGAAAGCTCATAGTTTACACAAAGTAGCATTAGATTCTCCTTTATTAAATGTATAAGACTGTTATTTCAGGACCAAATTGCACTTGTTAGTATATATCTATGTTATAATGAAAGAATTGTATACTGTAATTGCAGATGTTTACCCTAGCTTCTAGATTTAAACAAACAATTAAGCAGCACACAAAATAATAACTTACTGAAAATTTCTTTAAGGAGCAATCAATTCCAGATGTTTGCATTTTTAAGCTTCTTAAAAATGGGTGTATTTTGAAGATACCTCTACACATTTTCACTTTTTATATGGAAGGATAAATTCTCTTAGAAACTCTTTATAGGCAAGTTTTTTGGTCTGGAAAGTGAGTTTTGGGAAATATTCTATGAGGTGGATTTTCTTTTTCCTTTAAGTAAGAGAAAGAAACAACAAAGGCTGATGATTTTAACCTAAACAGTAAGAAAAATTCAAGTTGCAGTGTTTGTATAACACCTATAATGGTTTGTACACATAGCACAACAGTGATTTTCTGTTAGTTGGGAACAGACCAATACATTTTCTTTCTAAGCTATGTGTTGTTGGCTTCAGTCTATGGTTTCTAAGCTAAGGAAGCAATTTTTCATACCTTTCTCTATTTCTTTTTTTTTTTTTTTTTTTTTTTTTTTTGATACATTATGACACGCTGTTCATGTCACAGCACAGCTCCAAGTACTCATGTGGCTTCTTCCACCACAGAGCTTTCTATATACATCGTTGCAGTATGGTGCACACACAAAGAAATGAAAAACAAAAATCAGCATTTTTTGTATTCCTCAAGAAATGGGTTCCTGGTTGTATTGAAGCCAGTGGTAAAACCTTTATGGACTTTGGGGGATCAGGATGGCATTTGTGGCCTTGATCATAGGTGCTTTTCTAGGTCGGAACTTTTTCATTACACCTTTCAGATGTTTAAATAACCACTTAGAATAGACTAGTCCTTTAGAAGAGAACAGCGGAAACAGAGAAGACAGTGCAGCAATTCAACTTTTCCACCTTTTTGCCTCTTGGGGTTCACATCACTTTACAACATGATTCCTTCTCAGGAAGAAGTTGCTGAGTTAACATATTTAAACAAATCAGGACCAAAGCCATTTATTGATCTATTAATGGAGAGTAATTAACTAGCCATCAGTGAACTGTAGCTTTTTCTGCTTTTAATTAAGGATTTCCTGACAAGATAAAGGTATATAGAATTGCACTAACATATGTACTGCTGCTATTAATAACTTGAATGGGTTTTTTTATGCAGTCAAAATTCTGTGTTTGATGAAAACCTTCATATTAATAAACCTGCTTTGTTGAGGATTTTTTTTTGGCTTCAGGCTTAGTCATCAAAGAATTCTCATTGTCACATGTTTTGAGAGCGATGCATGAAAAGCAGTCTGTACAAACTAATTCTCATTATTCTGTTATGAGTTTTAGACTCTGAGTCTTTATTCCTGCAGATCCATGACTTTTTTTTTCTTAATCATGGGCTTTCATCCAAGCAAAATAACATGTACATCCCAGAGAACAGATTAAAATCATTGCCAACAATAAGGATTGGGAGAGATTTTACAGCTTACAATCCTGTTCCATTTAGTTTGAGGGAATCCATTAATAAGATGTTCTATGTAAGTTAAATCATAAGTGTCTTCTGAAAGCATGCCTGAAAACAGGAATCTTATAAGATTATAGGATAATTCAGGTTTGAAGGGACTGCAGAAGGCCATCTGGTCCAATTTCCTGCTCAAAGCTGGTTGAAGAGTCCTTGTCTAGTAATAAGTGAAGACTGCCTGGAAATGCAATTTTTTTCAAAGATCATCAGAAAACCAAAACTAAGTCAAGATAGCTTGGTGACTTTCTTAAGAAAGCACAAAACCAGACACCTGTGCTGAAAGCAGACCATGTTATCACAATAAACAGCAAAAGTATAGCTATGCTGGAAATTTCTGGGGAAGCCATTTTCAAGCAGGAAGCCTGCAGTGGATGCAGTTGTCACACAGTCTTTTGTCAATTATGTACTGAGGAAATCTGTGTTCAGTTCCTGACTCTGATACAGTTTTCCTCTATGACTTTTAACAATTTATTTATTTTCTCTGTTGTTTGGTTGGTTTTTTTTTTTCCCAGTTCAGTCAACATGAGGCTGAATTCTTCTTGTTGTCTGTATTGTCTATTTAGATAATACGATTTTTAGAACAGGAATTCCTTTGTGAATATGCAGTTATTAGCATGATAGTGGCTTGATCTTGGCAATCCGAGTAACTGTTACTGTTAATAAATGAATGAAAAGATAAGCTCATGGTTCATAATTGCAACTTAATAACAGTGCACATGTATATGTAAATTTGAAAAAAAAAAAAAAAAACAAAAAAAACAAGGCCTTTCATTTTGTTTTTCTCATTTACATTTATATTCCTTATATCCTCTTTTCTTCTCGTTTCCTTGGAAACTTCCATTTTGAGATGATAATGATATGTTTAGTACTGAGGACATGCAGAAAACTAGTTTTTTTCTGAGTTCTTGATGCCCGTACACTTTCCAGTTGATATGGGAGGTAATAGGACAATTCCCTCATTTGCAAACAGGAGCTTGGAGATAGAAGAAAGTTCTTTTGTGTCCACTGGTTAACAAGAGAGAAAGAGGCATCGCAGAATATAGAATCACTTTGCTTTTACAGGAAGAAGCTTCCCTTCTTTGCTGTAAGAAACAAAGTGATATAGAGGACAGTGATATGATATACTAATGAATGCAGAATGTTAGTTAATAAAATTACATATATTCACCCACTGATGTCATTAGACTTCCTAATAATACCTGCTTGTGACTTCCTTGGTATGAAATTCTCTACAGGACCACTGATCTCAGCTTCGGAAATGGGGAGGGAACAGCATGCTGGTTCGGCCATTCTTCCCTTCGCCTTGGGAATGAGACCCTGAAGGGAGGAGGGCTGTTGTGTTCACAGTATCTGTGAGTCTGTCATTTCCCAGAGCTGTAGGAGCTGTAACAAATAATCAAAGTGTGGGAGCTAAAAGATACAGAGAACAGAATGAGATCTGTTGGTGTGTGTTCCAATTTTTATTCCTATTCACCCTGTCTTCAGGCAGCATATGAAAAGCATAAAGCAGAGTTACTGCAGTACATGAATTACTGTTCCATACCTGTTTGTCTTTGGAAAAAATGAGACAGCAGCTTCATGAATTCAGGTGAAATAAAAAACTTAATTTGCTGTTTGGTTGTATTAGTTACAATAAAAGAATTGCGATACTAGTAGAAAATAAGATTTATGGGTAGATTCAGATAAAAACAAAGTTAAAAATTGCAATATGGTATTTTTCCTAAGTAGCCATCCAAATCAGAACTCTCTATATAAACCTTCACATCGCTAGATATTAACTGATCTAGAATGCTAGATGCAGATATAATTCCTGCTTAATAAGACTTTTTCAAAAAGACTCTAAGAGAAATGGGTTTATCTGCAGTCCTACAATGATGAAGGGAAGCTTCTCCAAAACTTGCTCAGGCTTTAGCATTCAGTTCTCAATGTTCTTTCAGAAAACATGCCTGTAAGCTGTCATGTATCTTGTCCAGCCTTAAGAAATCTATTGATTGAATCCT